GTTGTGCAGTCCAAACCCAACTTTATCATCTCATCTGCTCTTGCAGATAGTCTTAATAGTCTTATGAGCTAAAAACCTATTTTGATTGTTGGATTTGAAGCAACAGATAACCCTCCCCCTCCCAGAAATCGGTTCTGCTCCCTGGTTCCACATCTGCCCTTTTCCATATTTGAACCCAGGCCCAGGATATGTGGCCTAACCATTCTGTCCTCAGATCCTTTAGGCCGGAGGTCCTGAATGTAATAAAGCTGAAGCTGCCATCTGTGTGATCTTGCAGACCTTGAATTTAGACATGTCTGTTGCTCTTTTCAAAATACGCAAAGATGACTTCAGAGACTTCCTTAAAATACAAGCCAGATTTGTGCGCAGAGCCGGTATCTCTCCCTCTCCCTCTCCTGAATAGCCGCCTGTGATCTGCCCTGCCCTGCATCGCTCTCCAAGAAAGGATGGCTGAGTAACTCAGAATGATTGAGGGAGATTTTGCTCCTTTCTCCGGCTCTGATAAGCAAGAAAGATGGAGTGAAAGAGGTGAGATGGAACGGGGCCAATCGATGGGTGAGAACAAGCAAGGGCTGTGATTAAAGGAGGAATGGAATTGACAGCAGAAGGCAAAACTCATCCCTCTGGGGTTGGCACCTCTGCCATGCTCGCCCAGCAAATAAAAACAATTAGTGATTCACGGAGGAGGCGAGTTGTTTCTCTGCACTGGGCTAGGAAGAAGGGCCAGACTGCAAAGGGTCAGAATTTGAGGGTTAAAGAAAAGGTGGGTCTTTTTTTTTTCATTGACATTCTGGAAGTACGGTATTCTGGTATCACAGAGCAGAGTATGATCTCAGTTCTGCTCGGATGGAATTGGAAGGAATGGTTTTTGAGCATCTGCAGGAGGGAGAGAGGGGGAAACAGATGCCTGCCTTCTTGTTAGACTAGGCTTCTGCTTGGGCGAATGACATTGGTTCGCTCCCTTGGCTTTCATTTCGCCTTTTTCAAGCTGGAATTTTGGGATATGAAACAGCAGCAGCAGCAGCAAATTCTGACCTGCTCCAAGTCCGGAATAAGAACATTTAAAAAAAGAAAAGACATTTGTAACACCTGCTCAATAGGTTCAAATAAGTTATTTAGGGGAGGGAATTGGGGAGGGGGAGTATAAGTATCAGATGTTTCCTATCCCTTTTTAAACACCTCCAGGAGCAAAACATCCTTGAATAGTCACACCTCTGGGAGTTTACTGCTTCCCATTTTAGTCTTCGTGCCTCGGTGAATTATCCCCATTTAGGGAGGAAGAAAAATGGCCAGAAGTGAGATAAAGCAGAGACTAGTGACCGCCGCATTGTTGGGAAATGCTAGACTGCAGGATGACAAGAGTGTCTGCAGACACTCTTGAGTTGCTGTCACACACCATGCACACAAAAGCTGGGTTTGCACCATACATTTTGCTAAATTGACCCATTTTCCATGTCCACATAATACATTGAACTCTGCATTAATTGGACAGGCTGAGTTTGCTCCACTTGATAAGCCACAAAGAACTAACCAAGATTAGCCAAATGTATAAAGGCAGCTGTTAGACTTTTAATTGATCTGTTAAACAAGTTGGGTGAACAGAGTCGGGGATCCAACTAAACAATACAGTTTTCCTCTGTAATATCCTACAGATTCCTTTCCTCTGCTGCATCTTCCAGCTGTTTTAGACTTCAGCCATTTAGCCGTGGGTGTTAGGATCCGAATCCACTCCTCCCCCTTTAAAAGAAGGGTCTGTTTTGTCTGTGGTGAAGATTTTTCATATGATAAACTCACCATTCAAGCCTTTCCCCTCCTCCAAACTAAATATATCTACTTCTATTTTGCTTTTTACAGCATTCTGCTTTTAAAAAAACCTCAATATAGTTATTTCCCACTCCACAATCTGCTCTAGCAGAGAACCTTCTGGTGTTCGCTATGACGTTTTGTAGCTGTTTGGCAATAAGGATAAATATGGCGGGAGTGATGTTATAAATTTATATTTAGGGGTGCATCCAGGTCACCAAGCATATTTTCACTTAAATGGGTCTTCTAATTCTCATGAGAAACAAATCCTCCCCGTGTTTCTCTACAAACTTTAGGGACCCCGGGAAAGGAATTGGTGGCTTGAGAAGGACTTGCAAGATCAGAGTGTATTTTCTTTAGTCCTTCTTAATATGATGTGGGAGAAAGCATACCAGAAATATCTCTGATGTCACATCAACTGAGCATTCATGTCATGCAAGCTGTAATGGGAGCAGCGTGGTGTAGCATGAGGACTGAAAGGAGCCTGGTTTAAGAAAAACTCCCTGGGTTATGTTGTATTGGCCCAGCCAGCGTTATTAGGGAGATAAATGGAGTTGTTGGGTTCTTGGCTCCTTGTGTGATATGAATCCTAACATTGTGGTTTATAAACTGTGGTCTATAAGTTGTAGAATTAGAGTTGGAAGGAGCTATTTGGAGCATCAAGACCCATCCAAATCAAAAGTCTCCCTGATTGATGGCTGGGCAGCCTCCACCTCCAATCAAGGGGGATCCCACTGCCTCTCTGGGTCATGGGTTCCATTCTCCAATTGCTCTTACTCTTAGGAAGCTCTCCCAACCCCCAACGTCCAGTTGGAATTATCTGTTTTCCTGTCAGTTAAATTCATTATTTAGTGCTCCTCCCTTTGGAATAAGAGAAGAGGGCTTGACCTTCTTCTGTGGGACGTCCTTTCATCTATCTCTTCCTTCTCATCTCCAAGCTAAACATGGCCAGGTCCTCCACTAGTTTTCATAAGACTCGTTTTCTAATCCCCCGATCATCTTGGTTGCTCTTTTCTGAACCTGGTCCAGCTTGAGTCAGCTCCATCCCCTGCCCAGGGCAGGAATCCAAATCAAAACTTCCCCAAGGGTTGGCTGTCCAACCTGTGCTTGAACCCCTCCAAAGAAAGGGAGCTCACTAGTTCCTTAGGTCAATGGTTCCATCATTAGGAGGCTTTTTCTGATGTTTCAATGGAATTGGTCTTCCTGTAAAGTTAAGACATTATACTGGGTCTCTGTAATGGTATGTGGGAATGACCTTGGTAGACAGGAGGAAGAACCACAGACTGGACAAACATAATGGAAAAGGTATCTCAGCCCTCAGAAGGAAAAGGGGTGTGGGAAGCATTTCAGAAGGGACCCTCCCTAGTTTTTTGGAAAGTAAAAGGAGAGGAGGGGAGAAATGCTTTCAGACTTGTAAGATACTGTTACTGCAACCTCACAAAAAAGATAGTATTAGTACTCATGGTTTGTGTTTCTTGACTACCTTGAAGGGCCAACAGTCTTGTACACCATTACAATAAAACAGAGTCAGACCCACTTTCTGTATAATACCCGTTGGCTCCTTGAAAACTGGGTTTGTAGACCTCACTAGACCAGGTGAAAAGTGGAGTAGGTATTTGTGAACCTGCATATTCTGACCCCAGCTGTTGTCTTAGCATATTGTATAAACCAGGGCATCACATTAAACCATAATGGACTTTATTTCTTTGTAAATAGCATGTTATATGCATACAGCAGCTGTGTTTTGTTAACTCAAATTTAGCATGTTTTATTCCATGTCCAATCTTTCTGTGGGTCATCCTTTCAGGTCATTGAAGAGATAATTTTTCAGGTAATTTTCTCCTCTCTTTCCAAAGCTAAACCTTTCCGATTTCTTCAGCCTCTCTAGTTCCTTGATCAACCTTGCCATTCTGCTCTGAACCTCTTCCAGTTTGTAAGAAACCTTCTTACAGTGTGGGGCCTAGAACAGGATGCAATTCTTAAGATGAGGTCTGACCGACACAGAATAAATGTTTAAAAAGTAGGGAGCAGAAAGTTTTCTACTCGGGCAGAAATTATTGTTCAGTAAAACAAAACAAGCTTCAAAACAGTTGCTTCTTATGATGTGGGCTGTTTCTTTTTCTTTAAAAAGAAGGGTCTAGGATTCTGACACACCCTGGCGTGACCAAGGAACAAGATGTGCCTCTGTAGATAAGAGCAATCTCTACTCTCACTGGATCCTGTTGAATTCAGTAGTTACACAAAGGCTCTTGCAAGGAGGTGGGCTCCCAGCATTGCCCAGTGTGAATGGATGGAGCCATTTGCTGCACACAGAGAGACCAGCTTCACTGCCCCATCAATATCATGTAGAGGAAGAAAGATCCATGGTGCTGGTGAGGGCAATGGAGAGCAAGGACGAACATAAATATGAATGTTCCTAGAGCAGTGTCGTTCAACTTTGGCCACTTTAAGATGCGTGGACTTCAACTCTCAGAATTCCCCAGCCAGCCGTGCTGGCTGGGGAATTCTGA